GTATGCTGCGTATGATTTCTTCAGCAGCCATACGTTCAAATATGGACCAGTTCATTGTAGTCTTTTCGCTAACATAGCATAGCTCGTTGATGGTGTGTCAAATAAGCGATTCTCTCCGTTTGCGTTGAAAATGTCACCCTTTTTCATTGATCCATTTTGTGTTGCAGCACCTGCAGTTTGCGTTTGTATTGGTGCAGCGCTTGGCGTTATTCATGACAGTTTTTGTCGGTGTTGTTCAGCACGATTCGTAAAAGTTTTTGTTGGTGTTGTTCAGCACGATTCGTAACAGTTTTCATTGGTGTTGTTCAGCACGATTCGTGACAGTTTATGCTCATTTCGTTGGTGTTGTTCAGCACCGTTCGTAACAGTTTATGCTCATTTGTTGGTGTTGTTCAGCACCGTTCGTAACAGTTTATGCTCATTCGTTGGTGTTGCTCAGCACCGTTCGTAACAGTTTATGCTCATTCGTTGGTGTTGCTCAGCACCGTTCGTAACAGTTTTTGCGCATTCGTTGGTGTTGCTCAGCACCGATCATAACAGTTTTCGTTGGTGTTGCTCAGCACCTTCATCATAATGTTCATAACGTTTGATGTCATTTCGCATTTACGATTATCTTCATCATTACGTTCATAACGTTTGACGGCATTACATTTCATTACATGACATTACGTTTCATTTCATTTCATTTCATTTTCGTTTCGTTCGTCGGATAACTTTGACAGTTATTGCTGGATCTGATAAACCATATAAATATAATCGTTGCAGTATTATGATACATTTGACTTACGAAGTAGTATGTATAAAAGATGATAGTGTAAATCATTCGTATTCTTAAAAAGAGTGTTACCATCGTCAGATCGACGTGCTTCCCTGGAGGCCGATTTGTCCTTACTACTTACGGACTCTAGCGATCGTACACGTACACGACAGCATGATCGATCTCATATTCAATAGCACGGTCACCTTTATCTGGATCGCCTGCCATATTTAAATATATATGCCATAGTATGCTGTGACGCATAATATAACACTACAGGCACTGTAATATGTGATCCACAATACGCAGCAACACAACATGACGGAACTAGTTGTGGGAGAGTCTCCTGGCCAGCTTGACAAAGTTATTCTTACAATACCTGAAGTTGACGATGATGATTTGCCTTCAACATTTGGAGACGAGGATGCTTTGCTCTCGGTCATTGATCCATCAAAAGCAAAGAGGGCATCGTCTGATAAGTGCAGCCCACCTTCAATTGCAACCACAACGACGAAATCAGTGACAACGGTATCAATAAGGTCATCCGAACTACAGCTGATGCAAAACCCTGAAGGCACGATGTCTGTCAGCAGCGGCTTCAACATTCCGAAAACATGCATGCAGCATCTGAAGCTTGATTTTCTTTCTTTAGGTTTGATCGGCAGGGATGGACAAGTTGCAGCCTTGAAAGATTGCCTGGACCGTTTGATGGATGGTAATGCTTCAAGTTCTCACAAAGGCGAGCTTTCGACGAAGCACCATCTGAAGCAATTGGTATTCCTTGGAGGAAACAGCGGCTCCGGCAAGACAACGCTCTCTCGCTCAATTGAAGAGATTGTGACCGAGCGGTACGGTGGGGTCTTGGTGGAGGGAAAGTGCGAAATGCAGACAAGAGATGAACCTTTCTTTGGCATTGCAAAAGCTCTGGGAAAGATTTGTATTGAGGTATCGAATTCAGGCAGGGACTCGAAGAAGCTTGCTGACGAATTGATGGTCGAGCTTGGAGACAAATTAGAACCCTTGCTGGAGGTCATACCAGAACTGAAACAAGTTATTCCGGATTACAAGTCAGCCATGTTGGATGCTGATCCTGACATTCTTGACTTGGAAAATGGGCTCAGCCGTTGGAAGTACGCCTTCCGCACGACTGCTCGTCTCTTGAGCTCTCAGATTGCTCCGATAGTGGTTGTTTTCGACGATATACAATGGGTAGACGTTTCCTCCTTGCAAGTTTTGGATTGCATCATATCTGATACCGACAATTCCAATCCACTGATGATTATTGGGTGCTACAGATCAGAAGATGTCGACGAAAACAGTCTCCTGTACAACAAGATCGCTT